AAAAAAAAAAAAAAAAGACAAGATGAGAAAAGGGTACCTCCCTCAACATGGCAGTGCTATGTTGAGTGCAGGAGGAGTTTTCACAGCAGGGCTGGATGGAGGGAAGTGTTTGTGGTGGAGTGTGGCCCTTTCCTGCCTCTTGTCCTTGTGGTGGGGCTCACAGTAGTACCTGAGTGATGCATTATGGCCCTCCCTCCAGACAATCAGAGAGACCCACAGGGGCCATGACCAAGCTGCTTTTGGCTCCTCCTCCTAAATTACAAGCTGAGGAGCCTACTTCATTGTGAAGGGCTTTGTCTTGAGTTGAATATAGAGGGCATCTCTGGTCCTAGCCACCCACTGGCAACTCTCATTTGCATTCATGTCCCTCTCTTCTCTTTGTCCTGTCTTCTCTCTGTCTTCCSTTCCTCCTCCTTTCTGCAGGTTCACTTGCTGAAGGATCAGTTGGCTGCCGAGGCTGCAGCTCGGCTGGAGGCCCAGGCCCGCGTGCACCAGCTTCTGCTGCAGAACAAGGACATGCTCCAGCACATCTCCCTGCTGGTCAAGCAGGTGCAGGAGCTGGAGCTGAAGCTGTCAGGACAGAATGCCAGTAAGCCAGTGCCCTGCCCAGCCACACCTCCTTGTATGCAAGCTCTGGAAAACACATGCTATTTTCCTAAAGCTTTGGGGGATGCTTTATTAGACCTCTGACTTTGCCTTTATATTCCAGCAGAAAATAGGCAGCTTTGTTTATTTTGTCTGTATATTCATGAATTACAAAATTGCAGGGCCAGAGCAAACTTTGGGTGCCTTCAAACCCAGCAGCCTGACTTGGCCTTGACTAGGAGTCACTKCCACATGCTCTCTATTTGGTGGGGGCCTAGGCATCCTAAGGCATCCCATTTCTTTCTGAGAGGGCTTTTTCAATCAAAATATATTGAGCACCTAATAGGTGTCATGTTCTCTGTGAATTCTGTGAGAGTCCTCAAACTGTCTAGTAGTTGACTCTCTCTGTATGTATTATATATTTCACAACTCTCCTGCATAGAAAAATCTAACAGTATGTCCACTTAATAGATAAGGAAGCAGAGTAAAYAGAGAGACAGCTTTGCTGCTCAGTGGTGGAAGTTGCCCAGCACCTAGCCTGCAATGCTACTCCCACCCAGGCACCTCCAATCTGGGCTGGGAAGCAGTGAAGGTGGTGCATCACTGTGTCTTCACCTTGGTTGTACTCATGGGTTACATGCATTCTCAGAGTCCATGTTGGCTGCAGAAATATCGACTGATCACCTCTTGTGCCATAAACTGTGATAGCATGTTTTATGTGAGCTCATTTAATCCCTGTGGTGGTAGATGTTATTATACTCATTTTATAGAAAAGAGACTGCTAGAGGTGAAGTAACTAGTTCAAGTTACAGGACTAGCAAGGGGTGGAGCCCAGATTCATTCCCAGGTCTAATTACAAAATTAATGTTTTTCAAACTATATCAGTAATTCCCCCAAACTATCCTATGAGCTTTTTAAAAAATGCATATTATAGGATCCCCATCAGTAGGTCTAGGGCAGGGCCACAAGTCTGTATTTATTTATTTTTGTGAAGCTAGGGATTATACCCAGAACCTTATAAGTGGTGGGTAAGTACTGTGCCAAGACTGACATCCTCAACGCTTGAGTCTTTATTTTTAAAGGGGCCCAAAGGTATGAGCTATGAGCCCCTGTGCTTCAATATTGTGTAAGCCTCTCTAGATGGTTCAGATTTTTGTTTGTTGAGACCCTGCTCTGTCCTAACTAATGCTGATTTACACGGTTATACTAAAAAAAGTTACTGCATGCTTTTAGTATGGTTCTCTGAACCGGTACTTTTTTCCTTGCCATAAACCCCATTCAAGGCACTCAGTAGCCTTCCCCAAATCCTCACATGGTTCTCATTGCTCTGCGTTTACTGCTCTCAGGAAGCCCCTGCAGCCAAATATCTGATGCTTTGAGGGTGGGAAGAGGAGGTTCCAAATGCTTAGCCCAGCCAGGTGCTGCGTTGTTGGTCAGGGAAGGACCCCTGCATGGGCTCGGACTGTAGGGAAGGACAGCTTCCCAACCAGAACCTTGCCTGACATTGCATCCCCTCTCCTCTTGTTTCACTACAGTGGGCTCCCAGGACAGCTTGCTGGAGATCACCTTCCGCTCCGGAGCCCTGCCTGTGCTCTGTGATCCTATGACCCCCAAGCCAGAGGACCTGCATTCTCCGCCATTGGGCGCAGGCTTGGCTGACTTTGCCCATCCCGCGGGCAGCCCCTTAGGTAGGCGCGATTGCTTGGTGAAGCTGGAGTGCTTCCGCTTTCTCCCGCCCGAGGACACCCCACACCCTGCGCAGGGCGAGCCGCTCCTGGGTGGCCTGGAGCTCATCAAGTTCCGAGAGTCCGGCATCGCCTCAGAATATGAGTCCAACACGGACGAGAGCGAGGAACGGGATTCGTGGTCCCAGGAAGAGCTGCCACGCCTGATGAATGTCCTGCAGAGGCAGGAGCTGGGCGACAGCCTGGATGACGAGATAGCCGTGTAGATGCGGGGCGAGGAGACTGCCAAGGTGGCAGCTGTGGTGTGTGGTCGGGCCATGTCTGTCTGCTGCTGGTAGGGAGATGCCCTGTGAAGGCACACTGCTGTGGRTGACACCCAGGGGCCTGGAGAGTGTAAGGCTTCAGAGGAGGATTAGGATTTCACTTTGGAAGGTAATCGGGGGAAGAAATTGGATTCCCAGAGGCAGATCAGCTGTGTCTTTACCTGTGACTAAAGGGTGGTGGGAACAGGGCTTTCCAGAGCCCATAGTTTGGGGAAAGGGTCCCTCTTCAGGACCACCTGGCTGCTGGAAGACCCCCCACCCCTACCCATTGCACTATCAGGCTCCTCTGCTTCGTTGTGTGATGCCCCAGTGGTCCTTCCATTCTCCCCACCTCCTTGAACCTGACCATAAAAGGAAGCCACTGGTACCTTCTCAGGTACTTTGGATATCAGGATGCTAAGAGTTGCCTAACCCTTCCCTGACCTTAATGGGAGAGTTCCTTCTCCAAGCCCTTGATGACATTACAGAGGTTGAATGCTCTGAGCTGCAAGTCAGACTGTCCCTTTCAGTGTGAGCATGGAATTTGGATGTGTCATAAGTCACAGTGAATAAGCTATTAGAGAAAATTGAATCCAAACATTTTCTCTAGCTGAATGTTAGATGTTGCTTCAGAGGGAGCCTGGGACCATTAACATCATTCAGACCCTTGATATGAGAGAGCCCAGGGGGAGGACAGCCTGTTTGCTACCACAGATCCCTTAGGTCTTACTCTTCAGTTTGGAAGCCCTGCCCTGCCTGCCTCCTGCCTGCAGCCCAGCTTGTACAAACAGACGATTGGAAGTGCCCAGTGTTCAGCCTCAGGCTGTGCCAGACAAAGCTTTTGCAGCCACTTTGCCTCTGTGAAAGTCTCAGAGACCCAGAGCCCCTGCCTTACCTCTCACCTCTTCCCTCCACTGGGCAATAGTGGTCAGTTTTTAYTGTAAACAAACAAAATGGATGTAAACTGATAGCTGAGAATCACTGCCACTTGGATCAGGGACCATAGCCATGACACCCTGGCCCATCTATCTGTGGGTGCGTGCCTTGAGCACACTTATAAAAAGTGCCATGTGCAACACTTATCTTTTACCATCTAGGCCTTGCCTAGGGATCTCCACTTGTAACAGACTGACTAGGCATGCAAGGAAAAGCTCCTTTTGCTCCTGTAAGGCCTTAAGTGGTTGTTAACAGATATTCAGATGCCARAAAATAGGGCTCAGATATGCTTGAGTCATATTTTTTTGGGAAGAAGTCTTCATCCTGGGCCACAAACTACAGATCAAACTGAAGTATTATTATGGGGCTAATTGATAAGGATATAATTGCCCCAAATGGAGTTCTTCAACCTCAGCTTTACTTTGGAATTTATATAAATGCAAATTCAGCCCTTTCATAAAAGCCGCTGTTGGATTTCTTCTAGATTGGAAAATCCAAATTAAAGGAAATAAACACAGCTTTAAATAGCCCTCCCTGGTGCACGAGGGTGTCAGTGAAAGTAGGATGGGATGCTGTGTGTGTATGTATGTTTGTGTGTGTGTGTGTGTGTGTGTGTGTGTGTGTGTGTGTGTGTGTGTACTGACTGCAGCCTTGTAAGAAGTAATGGGAGAAAAGCGAAAAGAGATCTCCAGGGATCAACAATAGATTTTTTTTTTTCATTTTCCTAACATGCATCTAGTTGGAGAGTCATGGTTTTATATGTTATATTCTCTAATTAACCATTGAAAGTAGGTCCAGTTATACAGGGAAGGAAGAAACAGGAACATGAGATTTATAAAACTAAAGGAGCAACTTCAGGAATCCAGTTTGGTTCAGCCTAGCTGGCTTATGAAATCCTAACCCAGGATTCCTTGAGTCTTGGAACTTTGATACCATCAGGATTTTGACCATAAGAGTAGTAGAAGGTCTTTTTCTCAAGGCCCACTGCCAGTAGCAGGAGCTAAGGATAAAGCCAGAAGCCAATGGAATAGGTGTGTGGACTGTAGATGGAGAATGCTTATATAGAATGGGGTGAGGAAGAAAGTGTCTATAAAACCATCTCAAAAATCTTATGAAGGGAAGGGAGAAATGGAGATGAAATTAAATAATTAGAGTAAGTTATCTGTGATGCTGACTTAGGACCCRTTCAAGACTTTTACCCTTGGTTGTTTTTTTGTTTTGTTTTTGTTTTTGTTGGGTTTTTGCTTCTATCTCTCCCTATCCCTGCTTCAGGCCCTTCCTGGGGCATTCATTCATTTGTTGGCACCTTCCCTAGTGTGACTTAAATCTGTGCACACTTGGTTTCTGGAGCTGGAGATGAAGGACAGACCTAGAAGCCTTGAAGTGTCACCACCCACCCACCTTCCCTGGGGCCAACTGGGCAGGAAAGGAAATGTTGCAGACCTGATGGCCCAGCGATGTCTCTCTGTCCTCCTCCCTCCTTGCTTCTTGCTTTGCTAACTCAACTCGGCCTTCCTCTTTTTCGTCTCTGCCCTATATGGAGGACATGTGGACACCAGGGTCCCCTACATTACTGGTGCCCAGCCCACCCCAGGTGCCAGCAGACTCTTGGGCACACAAGGCTCTCAGAGCTGCAGAGCTAGAAAAGAATTTCTCTGCACAGGATGGACTGTATATGGGGACTAAAAATTATATTCCTTATATTCCTGCTTATATGCTATCTGTAAAACCTCTTTCTAGTCTCACTCCTCTCAACTGATCTTGTTTAGGAGTTGTATGCCTTTATTTACTCTTTGCTTGACTGCTTCCTCCTACTTACCTATCCTGCCTCCCTCAGCCCTCTATTTCCCAAAACTGTTGTCATTAACTCTGTTGGATCAACTCTCTGGGAAAAGATTCTGTTAATGTAAGTGCACTTACTCCCTGGATGTTGTCACTAGTCTAGTGGCTTTTGCTAAATAAACCTTTCATATTTCTAAAAACTTGTCTTTTCTTGCTGCTTCTATTTCACTTGCTCCTTCTGTCCTTCTCTCCTCCACTCAGTTTCCAAGCCAGGCGGCATCAGCTCTGTGACATGGTTCCCAAAGGTATGGGGTTTAGGAAAAATTCAGTCTCCTGAAGGAGTGGGGGGTGGTGGTGTCCTCTGTTGCAGTTTATATAGAACACCACTCGTCTTAACTGGGAATAATTTGCTCACCAGGGGACATTTGACAAATGTCTGGAAACATTGTTAGCCACGCTACGGGAAGGATGTTCCTGGCAGGTAGTGGGTGGAAATCAAGGGTACTGYTGAATATCCTGTGGTACATAGGAGAGAGAGCCCCCTGCAATGAAGAGTTACTCTGTGTGGGTGGAAGTGGAGTTGAGTCTCATTTTTGCAGTTCTAGGGGTTAAGCCCAGGCCTCATGTATGCTAGGCAAGTGCTATACCACTTATCCTCAGCCCTTTTTAAATTTTGAGACAGGGTGTCTCTTAAGTTGCCCAGGCTGGCTTTGAGCTTATGATCCTCCTGCCACAGCCTCCCCAGTAGCTGGGGTTACAAATGTGTGCCACCATGTCTGGCAAAGGCAGAGCTTTGAATGCATGAAGAATTACTATATCAGATAGTTCCCAGTATAGCTAAGATCAAGATTATACAATTTCACTGACCCACTCACTAAATGTCTGAGGTATGTAGTTGGTAGGARTCTGAATGGGCCCATACAAGGAGGAAAACAGGTTCCTCTCCATAGCTACCTGGAAGTATTATGGCTTCATTGCCACACAGTTCTGTAGAGCAGTCCTGACTCCTGGGAAAGTRAGCTCTCCTGCATGCAGCAGAAATGAAAAGGAGGCACAAAACTGGGGAAGGAAGGAGCATATCAGAAGTAAGCCCCAGAGACTGGGGTTGTGGCTCAGCAGTAGAGCTCTTGCCTAGCATGTGCAAGGCCCTCGCTTCCATCCTCAGCACCACATAAAAATAGATAAACACAATAAAGGTATTGTGTACAACTAAAAAATAAATATTAAAAACAAAAGAAGTGAGCCCCAGAATCTCACATAACAGCCTTCACCTTTCTCATTTCTAAGCTCTTTGGCTGGAAAATTTAACCATTTTGAAGGCAGAGTGTTTGTTAGGTCTGATGTTCTGGCAGGTCCAGGCCAGGGAGAAAATGGGGAGGGGGTCAGAAAAACCAGGTTCACACGCCCTCTGTTCTTTTTTGGCCGAGCAAAATGAACTAAGCTTTATTTTCTCATCTGTCAAATGGGATAGTACATAAAGCAATTATCAGAGTAAATTATATTGCATTTTTAAAGCACCCAGCCAAGGATGTAGCTCAGTGGCAGAGCACTTGTCTGGCATGGGCAAGGCCCTGGGTTCAATTCTCAATATTGCTAAGTGATTGAATGAATAAATAAATAAAAGCTAAAGCACCCACCAGGGAGTGCCTGGCAGTCACCCGGGGTACAGTACAGTTTATCTTTTAGTTTCCTAGATCTGAACCTGTGCTGGTCATAGACCACTTTTCCTTTCTTGACTATTTGGTGCTGTGATGCAGAAGCCCTGGAGAAGGGAGCATGGGGTTGGCAGAGGGCAGAAGGTTAGGGACCAGTTCCTTTCCTGGTCCAGATAATGGTGAGACTGTGAATGGCCTCCTGGTCCCCAGAATGTGCTTCTCTCTGTACTTGCTAAGGAGTCCCATCAAGGGGTGACACGCATGCACAGCTACTTATGTACAGAAATCTTCTAGGGCTCAAGTGGCTTTTCCAGTTAGAAACACAAGCTCAGAGTGAGGACTAAAACAATTTTCGTAGTCTGGTCCCTAAGGGGCCAGTGTCTTGGGAATGATGTCAAGATTGCCTAGAGACCACTCCGCCCCACTGTGGACAGGTCATGACCCCACAGGTAGACTCCAGACTCTGACTGGGTAGGGTGGGGATAGAACAGGTGAGAAGTAGGAGTGACAGGTGTGGGCCCTGGGGTGGTCTCACAGCATATGAAGCAATAGGAATTTGAGCCCAGCTTCTCTCACTCTGTGGGGAATGAA